AACAAAGAAATAAAGGACTTAGTAGCGGAAATATGGAACAACTCCCCATATCTTGGTGTCCAAGAAAGACTCTCTCTTTGCAGAAGTGCCATCTGTAAGTGGTGTAAGATTTTCCAAGCAAACAGCAAACAACTCATCGAGGGTCTTAAAAAAGAACTCGAGGAGGTTATGACGTCCCAGTTAGACGATGAGGGTAGAGTGCAGGACATCAACCTGAAGCTCCTGGCTGCCTACAAATCCGAAGAAGAATATTGGAAGCAAAGGAGCCGTCAGCTCTGGTTAACTCTCGGTGACTCTAATACTGGCTACTTTCACGCTGTAACAAAAAACAGAAAGGCCAGAAACAGACTATCGGTCCTTGAAAATGATGAGGGGCTTCCGTGCTACGAAGAAGAGCAGATCTCTGACCTTATTTGTTCCTATTATTCCAAGCTCTTTAAGTCAACACCCACAACTGCGTCAAACTCAGCTTTGGAAGCACTGAACAAGTGTATCCCAGACAGCGTCAACGAAACTCTAATCAGTGATCCAACTGCCAAGGAAATCAGAGACGCTCTGTTCGAGATCCATGCCGATAAGGCACCAGGCCCTGATGGGTTCTCGGCAAGCTTCTTCCATACAAATTGGGACATCGTTGGAGGTTCGGTTGTGGAGGAAGTCAAGCTTTTCTTCTCATCTGGTGTACTACCTGCGGCTTTAAACGAGACACATATTAGACTAATACCAAAGATACACGGAGCAAAAAAGATAGAGCAATATCGGCCTATAGCACTATGCAATGTGTTCTATAAGATCATCTCAAAGGTATTAGCTCTTCGTCTGAAACCGGTGTTGGCCTCTATTATATCGGAAAATCAGTCTGCCTTTATTCCTGGACGATCAATAACCGACAATATTCTGATTACTCACGAGGTACTGCACTACCTAAAAACCTCACAGGCGCAACAGAGGTGTTCTATGGCGGTTAAAATGGACATGGCTAAAGCCTATGACCGGGTAGAATGGAGCTTTGTTTCTCGGGTGCTTAAAAAACTTGGGTTTCACGACAAATGGATTAACTTGGTGATGCAATGTATTACTACGGTCTCATACAAGTTCTTAATCAACGAGAGTGTCTACGGAGCAGTATTACCTCAGCGTGGAATCCGACAAGGGGATCCTATCTCGCCTTACTTATTTATCCTCTGCGGTGAAGTTCTCTCTCGGCTGTGTAAAAAGGCTCAAAAAGATGGATGTCTCCAGGGTATCCGAGTGGCGAGAGGTAGTCCAAGAGTCAACCACCTTCTGTTTGCAGACGATACAATGATCTTCTGCAGTGCATCGCCTGAGAACTGCACATCCCTCAAACATATCCTGCAGAGTTATGAAGAGGCATCAGGACAGCAAGTTAACATCCTCAAGTCAGCAATCACCTTCTCCAAAAAGACCCCGCAAGAAACTAAAATGAAAGTCAAAGAAATCCTTGGCATATCAAAAGAAGGGGGAGAAGGAAAATATCTTGGTTTGCCTGAGAATTTTGGGAGGAAAAAGAGAGATCTCTTTACCTCCATTGTTGACAGGATCAGACAACGATCAGCTAACTGGTCCTCTCGCTTCCTGTCCAAGGCAGGGAAGCTTACCATGCTGAAAGCCGTTCTCACAGCTATCCCCTCCTACACAATGTCTTGCTTCCAAATCCCCTTGAGTCTCTGCAGAAGAATTCAGTCAGCGTTAACACGTTTCTGGTGGGATAACTCCCCTACTAAGAGAAAGTTATGTTGGGTAGCTTGGTCAAAACTCGCTCAACCTAAAGCTCTAGGGGGTTTAGGGCACCGCGATATTCAACTGTTCAACCAAGCGCTTTTAGCCAAGCTGGCTTGGCGTATTCTAACCAAACCAGAGTGTCTACTTGCTCGGGTCTTAAACGGGAAATACTGTCACAAAAAGAATCTCCTTGATGTTGAGGTATCTGCTGCAGGTTCCCATGGCTGGCACAGCATTTTATATGGTAGGGACCTTCTAAAGGAGCACCTGGGTAAAGCTATTGGAAATGGCCAGTCAACTTGGGTTTGGAAAGACGCATGGATCAGCCTAGACTCTACTATCAAGCCATACGGACCGATTAAAGAGGCGGCTCTAGACCTAAGGGTCTCTGACCTGCTAACTGATGAACTAAAATGGAACAAAGCTAGAATTGAGGAATTCTTACCAGATTTCGTTTCACAGATTCTCTGTATCAATCCTAGTCTGGTAGGTGCGGAAGACTCTCACATCTGGACACCTCAAGCTTCAGGTGTTTATTCCACAAAGTCTGGCTATAATACGGCTGCAAAATCAAAGATGCCATTAGAGTTGGAAATACTGAATCCAGTAGTGAATCGCCAAGAAGAGTTCTCCTGGATAAAGGACGTATGGTCAGGCTCTTTCTCACCTAAACTAAAGGTGTTCCTCTGGTCGGTGATCCAAGGAGCTCTCCCTTTCGGAGACAACCTCCATAAGCGCGGTTTGGGAATGGAGGCTCTCTGTCCACGGTGCAAAGAACCTGAGGATGCTCTCCATGTTTTCTTTCACTGTGCCTTCGCTAAAGAAGTTTGGAAAAATGTTCAAATCTCTCAATCAGTTCACATAGCTGACGAAGCAAACTTCAAGGAAGTAGTAGTGGCTTATCGCATAGTCAGGTGTTTACCTCCTGTAGGACTCATACACAACGTCCTCCCCTGGATCTGCTGGATACTATGGACGGCACGCAACAAGCTACTCTTTGAGGACAAAACGGCCAAACCTATAGAGCTTGCGTCGAAAGGTTTGAGCCTGGCAAGAGAATGGGAATTGGCTCAGCCCACCCCGACTAATCAACGCAAAGTTTCAATTGCTTCTGCATTTGCTCTCCCCCCTTGTGCTAAGATGACAGGGATGATGCTACTCTTCACAGATGCCGCTTGGAAGACAGGGGAGGATAAAGCCGGACTCGCCTGGATCATGAAAGATAACCAGCTAAAGACGGTAAACTCCGGATCCCTAACACAACAATCGGTGGCGTCCCCTTTAATCGCCGAAGCTTTGGCTCTCCGCCTCGGACTGATCACCGCCGCCTCCCAGGGCTTCACCAAAGTCACAATCCTCTCAGACTGTTTAACGCTCATTAGAGCAATTAACCTCAAGCTACAAGTAAAGGAGATCTACGGTATCCTCCGTGATATTGATCAAGTCTCCTCCACCTTTGCTTCGATCGTCTTTCTCCACATCTCTCGTTCTCAGAATAGAGATGCGGATTCCTTAGCTAAACGGGCCTTTGTTGCTCCTCTGTCTGTTTCTACTGTTTCTTTGTTTATGGGCTAGCCCAGTCGGGCCTAGACTATTGAGTTCTTTAATATAATGTTGTGTTTCAAAAAAAAGGATATTATTTTTACACGAATATTCAAAAGTATTTTGAAAACGATTAGCCAATTAAGCAACCCATTAGATAGATATTGTTTGTATAAATAATATAGTTTTTAGACCCAAAAACTAAAAGACCATATTGCCATTAGTGAAAAATAATAATGTATTCATATCATTAAGGGTAATTTTAGAAAACATAAAAAACTCATTAAAGGGAATGATCCCGTTTTAATGGTATAGATGACTTATTCTTGGGTTCACCAACCAATAGAATGATGTTATTTCATAGTTGATATCATTTAAAAAAAGAAACAAAATCTTGTTAAGTTCTATTATGTTTTTAAAATAAAAATAGAAAAAAAGAAACATATAAAAATATTTACAAAAAGCTAAAACAATTATTCAAAAAAATTATTTTAACATTATATTATGTTTTAAAAATAAAAAGATAAATAAAATAAAAAAAAAGTAATAACTGTAAAAAACAATTTTTTTTTAAAAAAAAATTCTTTTAATATATCTTTAAAATGAAAACGAAATATTGTTACATTATATTATATTTTTAAAATAAAAATCTAAAATAAATAAAAACAATATAATTGGTTAGTATTAATTTTTTGATTTGATGTTTAAGATTTTTCCAAAGGGTTTATGATATATCCAAGGGTTTGATTAGGGTTTGGATTTGTTGTTTTTGTGTTAATTTTTTTTCTTTCATTTTTTTGTAATTATTACTATTTTTATTTATTTTTTGTATTTTTATTTTTAAAAACATAATATAAACAAGATTATATTTTTTTAAAAAAAATATCAAATATTAAAGAACACAGTCATATTGATTTAGAAGGGGTACCCAAAAAAAACTCTAGAAAAATATGTGACTGAATTTACTGTATAAAAATTCCAATTTATATTTTATTTACAAATTTTAAGCTATCAATTATGTTTTAGACTAATTTAAAAAAATACTGAAAAACAGTTGTAAGAACTTTGTTTATTTTGATTAATGTAAAAAAATGTCTGCAAATTTTTTTTTTTTTTTTTATCTTTTAATAGCTATAACAAATATGTCTAACCTAATTATACAACAAATAAATTTTATTTATATTTTAAACAATTAAAACCAAAGTATTATTTACAAATAAAAAAATAGCTTAAAACATCATAATAATTTTAGACTTTATAATTATTTATAAGGGATTCATTTTAGCTTGGTTCATCGTGTCCTGTTGTGTGGATTTATATATTATTAAGTCTATCTCTAATCCACCTCTATATTTATTTTAAAAAAAATTCTAGAAAATAAAAAAATAGATTACAAAACTAGATTTGTTTGAATATATGTTTCCATAGTAAAATTTTAATATTTTTAGGAGAAAATATAAAAGATATTATTTCAAATTCTAAAGAGACAAAAGTAACATTTATCTATATTGTTTTCCAAAAATATGAGATTTTTTATGAAAATAATATATAACTGCGAAATCTATTTCTATAATAGATTTTTTTTTTTTAGAAAGAAATATAGAGATAATTGGAGATGTTTTAAACCTTTTTTTTTTGTAAAACAGTGTAGTATTATTCCCTCCTCTCAATTTAATCTAAAAATCCAGTGTCGCACGTCACAAAATCCATCTCCAATGGCCATGAAAACACGAACACATCTCTTGGAAGAGTTGCAGACAGAGATTCTAGCGAGATTACCTTTAAGAACCATCTTCAGATTCAAATCAGTGTGCAAGACATGGAAATCAACAATAGAGTCTGCCTATTTCCGCCGTCTCTTTTTATCTCTGCATCAAAACTCCTCCTCCGCTTCATCGTGGTCCCTCTTGTACGGATCAGACGAACTCATAGGGTTCCATGGATGCAAAACATGGGATCTTCCGAAGTCTCCAGCTTCACTCATCCCACCTTGTTCCCCACGTGATCTTATTTTCGGTGATTGCAGCTACGTGGATTTTTCTGGTGGATTGGTTTTGCTTATAGAAGGCTCTTATACAGCTTACGGCTACGTGGGAAATCCAGTTTTACAGCAATGGGTCAAAATCCCTCCAACTCCTCCATTCGACCCTATGAATTATTCTACTAAGTTTGGTAATTTAGTGACTCGTTTGGATGAGGACGGTGTCGTTTTGAGCTTTAAAGTTGTTAGGTTAGTTCTTTACCCAACGACAAATGATTATCTCGTCAATATGTTAGTGTATTCCTCTGAGACAGGGGTTTGGACTTCTAAAGTAATTCAATCTCCTCATCTATTCGACAACGTGAATAATATCAACCTGAACGGTATGTTCTACTTTAGTTCTCTGACTGTGCCTGGAGTACTTGTAGCTCATGATTTCTATTCTGAATCTGATCAATTCCGTGTTGTGCAATTACCGGACTATCCCGAAATCAACAAGCACTACAAACGAACCTTGACTATATCAGGAGGCTTTGTCATGTATGTCAGAACATTAGCAAAAAAGGAAGAAACTGTTTTGAAGATTTGGAGGCTGAAAAGTGATGATGACACTTGGCAACTTTTGTGGGAAGTAGGCTTCCCGGTTAACGGTAATTATGTACCCATGGCAATGAATCCATTTGATGTCGCTACTGTCTATCTATGGAGTCAACTGGATCATCATTTGGTATCATGTAACCTACGGAAACGAAACTACACAATCCTGGGGGATGCATCTAATGATGGTTATCAAGATTGTTTCATTGACCATTCTGCTTGTAAGAAAAGTGTGGATGAGATATGGGATACAGCATCATCATCAGGTTTAGACGAAGACTTGGACTTTAGTGTTTGTATTTGGTTATTCCCATTCGTTATCCCACGGTGGATGGCACCAGTGCCTCGGCCTCCTCAAGCTGAGATTATGGATACGGCTTAACTACTTTCTTACGCTACTGCAACACATGAGACGATGATGAATATTATAGACAATGACGAGTACTTTCAGAGGGAGTGATATCAGTGTCGTTTTTTTTTTTTTTTGCTGTCTTTTGGATTTGTTATTTGTTTTATAACGTTTCATGCTCTTTAATTATTTAGAAGGGTCACTGTTTTAGGTGATAAACTAATACCAGTTGTAAAATCAAAACAAAAACATGTTACACCCACCAGTAACCAGCTGAATTGGATGTTAACCAATGATATTGCTCTATGAAATGGTTTGACACTTGAGCATCTACTCGTATGTTTACCTTACCCTCTTCAATGTGAAGAACAACTACTTTTAGATGTGGAGTTATTAGATGATCTTATCGAAGGTGTAATTTACTACTTTGAACTCTTTTAATAATGTTTCTTGAAATTTTAGTGATATTGGATAATATAGCTATAACTAAAACCGAATGGTTCCCAATTTTTGGGGTTATAGTATAGTTCTAAAAATTAAGATTCTAGAAAAAATACGGTTTTAAAAATTACGAACAAGACCAATCTGAATCTGGTTGAATCCAATCCAAATCAAAATTCTACCACTAGTTTTTGGATACAATTTTCTATAACTTTCCTAAACAGAATATTTGCTATCCGAAACTGACCCGAATACTCAAAGTCGGAAGCATAAGTGCAAAGAAGAAGAAAACATGTGACCCACCAATGATTCCATGTTAAACCTCAGCTAGTGGAGGGTGGCAATAAATGTAACCTTGCGAAGATGATGCTTTGTGTAGTCTTATGTGTAATTAAATTTTAAAGTTTGCAAGCGCAAGCCTACTACGGACCTTATCACAATATTGTATGACCTTTTGTAGTTGTGCTTAGGCTAATAGGGCGCCTCATTTCCAGTAGAATCTAATTGGGCTTTTCAGGAAACACAAATAAGAGAGACACCGATGAGGTTGCAGAAGTGAACGTCACATTTGCTTGTTTTTCATAGTAATAAATTAATTTGATGAATCTAATCTACTATGGTCATTATAAGTCCGTCCACGAAAGAATTGATGGATCATGACTTCCAAAAATAGACTTAATGAAAAATCAAAATATCCTGATGTAATCTCCTGATTTAGCTGATGGGACAACGACACCCTTGTTTTTTGTATTAACATTAGAGTATTCCAGATCTACAAATGGGCCAAACTAATCTCTAAATGAAAGTGCATCAATATTCAAATGAAACTTAAATCATAACCTCATATCTACGTAAATACAAAATGAAATATAGTAGAATGTTTTCGAAACCCGATTAACTTCCCAAAATATGTTTATAACTAAACCACCACCTTTAAGTTTGTGGGGTTTTGAATATATTTTTTCTAATCATTCAAGCGATCTATATAGAACCCCAACATACAAGTAAGTTTTAGAGCACTGAGACAGTTTTTCAAATTTCAACCAACCTTCTTTTAAGAAGTTAAATTTTCAAATATATATATATATATATATACAAATAATGTAGAGACACCACTTTAGTTTAGCTTTGTTTGGCTTTAAATTTGAAAGGCAATAATTTGATGTTTTAATACAAAACCATAGGACAATATCCACGTGGTCTGAACCGACCACTTCAAACGCCCCAAAAGCCCTGCAATATTTTAATCTAATTAATAAGCGAAAACTACTCTTTTCTTCTCTCTAGAGATAATCATCTACTTCTTGGTATAAATACACTGTTACACACGCACTTATAGAGAGACATCTAGACTTCACTTACACATTCTAAAAACTTTAACCCTTTACCAGAACCAGTGAAGATCAAGAAGAAAATACATGGAGAGATCACCATACTACGGTTCATCATACTTAGACTACCTCTCTCTCCCAGACCCACATGTCTGTTTTTTCTTCATGGTCGTCTTCTTCGCGTTGTCCCTCACATGGTACTTGAACTACGAATCCGTCCTCGAAGACACCATGAATCAGCTCAAGCTCGTCTTCATGCTCTCCCCTCTCTTCCTCCTCCTCCTTGTCCACTTCTTCTCGGGCGGCCTCTCCTTCTACGTCCCCTGGCCTGAACAAGACTCTATCCACCGTGCTGGTTCTTCTCCTTGGGGCGTCGCAGCCGTGCTCGTGATCATATTGTTCATGGTTTCGTACCAGTCAGACATCCATGAGATGTGGTTTCCCTTTGGGGCTAGGTAGATCGATCAACCTAAATTTTTCCTTTACACTTGTGATACGGTCCTACGGAACATCCATGTAAAATCTAGTGTGTCATATGAGATGTCAAAGTATGTTTACGAGTGATACTTTTGCCGAAGATCTTTCAAGTTTTATCAGATTGTCTTATGTATATGAAATTAAGTGTCTTTGTATTCCTGTAGAAAATGAGATGTCTATCAAAAAAATTGATGCAATAGAAATGTTTTGTGGATGAATGGAAGGATGAGTTAAAACTCCTAAAATGAATATTGCCGTTCCTAATGTGTGGACATTGATTCAGACAACTAGTGGTTCTTCTTGTGATCTTTTTGACAAGTGGGAGTTTGATATTGTATATGTAATATTTTCTGGGATTTTTTTTTTTTGAACTGAATATTTTCCGGGATTTCACCTTTTTTTTTTTTAAAGAAATTGGAGCAACTTCTGCGATTGCTTTATGAACGTTGCATTGTTTTGGTTATAAAAAGGAGTAATTTTGAAATTTAGATAGAAATCGAATAATATAATAATATCAAAGTGCTATCTTTTTTTTTAAAGTTTGATTTGATAAAAAGATATATATCGACATATTTGTTTGTACTTAAAATTCCCACCACTCCTTTATAAAGTTAGGGGTGCATTCTAGAGTATGATAATTCATAAATACTCGGGGTTGAAAGCGACATTCTTCCACTACAATTTTGCCAAATTTTCACATCGAGCGTCTTAAATGATAGATGCTAGATGATTGATCCACGTTATGTCTGTAATAATATTAACTAGATTAAGACTTGCACAATTGCACGGGATGAAAATCATATATAAAAATATTTTTTATATATTATTATTTATTTGTGTTTATTTAGGTATTTTGTATATAATAAAATTAAAATAAGCACATAAATCAAAATAATACCTCTTTTTTATTTACGATGTTTTTTTTGTAAATAAATCAAAATAATTATTTTATTTACTTAATATAGTATATAACTAATTTTCAATAATAGCACATAGATATATCGTATATTTTAACATAACTATTTAATATTGAGAATTCATAATCATATGATAACACAAAATTTCTAAAGTGTGTTTTTTTCTATGCAAATCTCAAAATTAAAATACTAAGGTTTTGATATGTTTTCAATACAAATTTAGAAATTAACATATTTCGTATTTTATCTGTTATATAGTTTTATTTTAAACTATATTAATATATAATATGAATGGCTCTTAAATGAGATTTTATATTCATACAATTTATGATCATTGTATCTTGTTATTACAAAAAAAAAGATAAACTATTGATCACAAAATTTAGCGTGGAACATTTAACGTTTTTAGTAATTTATAGTCGTTTTAAAAATTCATTATATAACATATAAGAATTTTTTTTATTATATGGTTAATGTGATTGTTTAATATATTTTAGTAATATAAAATTTAAAAAACTAAGATGCAAAAATTGCTATCAAATATTTATTATTCATAATCATTAATGTCATATATATGTTAATCATATTAGGTAATTGCGTATCTTTTATTTAAGGAAAGTGCGAGAATACTCTTTTGTATATTATTTATCAATCTGATGGTTAATTTAATAAAATATATACTATAAGTTAAGATGGACTAACCTATCTTTCTAAGAATTCTGAATTTCATTCTAATGGCAACACGTGGCTACAAAACAATGTTGTAATGTTTCTCAATTAATATATAAGGAATTTTAATGGTTCTGAAATACACTTTATACCTAGCAAAGTTAAATTTTTCTTTTTGAAGATAGCTTACCTAGCAAAAAAATTTTTGACAGAACAAACAAGTAAATGTAAAAACTTCAGAGTTTAATTAGTGTTTTGGAACTTATTACTTCATAGTTCCTAGACATATATGAATTTTTTTTAAGAATTTTAATATATTTACTATATATACATATTTACTATAAAAAACTATATATATTTACTATAAAATAATATTATTCATTAAAATAAATACATATATATTTAATATTTTAATATATTTACTATATATACACATATATATCAATGATGATAAAAGCCCTAATATGATTTTAAGGCATTTTTATCTATATAATATATATATCAAACGATGACTTAATATTTGTACATTAACCTCTATTTGTATAAGGGATGAGATGTATCGGATATTCAGATTCGGATTTGTATATTGCTATGTGGATTTGAATTTGGATTTTTCGGATATCAGGAGTTTGGATATCCGGACTAAAAGCTGAATACAATGGATATCTGAATTTTTTTTTTAATTTCTTAAAAAAAATATTTAAAACTAAATTTTAAAAACTTACTAATTTACTATTTATTTATTTATTTACTTAAAATTATTTTTGTGAAAATTAAAAAAAAATATTGGAAGATAATTTTATATTAAATTATATATAAAATATAATTATATTTTAAATATTTAAAAATATATACTAGATTCGGATCTAGACATAAAATTTTACTATTTAGATGTTCATTTTTCGGAATGGATCAGAACAGATTCTAGATCGGATAACATATATCTAAACTATTAAAGGGGAAGTACAAAACAGAAATAACCCATAGTTTTCCTCAAAAATTACAATAGAGTGCCACGAGAATTAAAACAATGTAGATTTGTTCTTACATGGGCTTCAATATAGGTTTAAAGTCCAATAACTTTAAATGAAAACAAAATTGCCCAAAACCAAACAACCCAATTCAATTTTAAAAATAGCATTTGTTAATAAAATTGCTAAAGCTTTTACTTTTGTCTTTTTTTGCTTTCTAAATAATTTATTTAAAAAAAAAAAATATAAAGTATAATTTTAAAATATAATTGCAATCACAAAATTTATAATATAATTTAATAAAATACAAACAATCTTAATAAAATACTCTAATATTTTATACTTAATTGTTTAGTTTACCAAGTAAAAAAAGTATATATCAAAAAATTATTACAACTTGATAGTTAAAAAAAGACGCTAAACAAAATGAACAAGATACACGACATCATAACTCAATAACCTACATAAATATGAATGCTTTTTACAACTAATATAAATATATATATATATATATATATATATATTTATACAAAACATAAATCCGCGCGGATGCGCGAGTATTATGTCCCCATTTGGAAGCTACATTTAACCTATATGAGGGTAGTATTAGAGCCTAACTTTGATTTTGGATTGATATGGGCTTTTATATTCTTTTGGGAGGCGCATCGTAGAAGAAATCATGTGATAAAGGAATAACGTTTTTTACCGCCACCAGTCATGGATGTCTTATTCCTATACGCCGCTTGGAACATTTAAGTATTATATTTTCGATTCTAACAATACACCTTCAACATACAAAATAACTTAGAAAACCACTAGATAGAAGTTCGAACGTGCGAGGTTAGTCTTACTTATAGAGTTTATCTTTTTTTTTTTGCTTAAATAGTCGTACTTATACAGTTGTTCATTCCTTAAAAATAGTGACAATACTCTTTTTTTTTTTTGAAATGACAATATATGTTTTTCTCAATTCAAAAAAAAATTAATTCATTATTACCTCACGTCTCCAAATATAATTTAAAAAACTACGATTGGTTTTTCACTTAAATAAACCATTTTATACTGTCACTACTAAAACGATTTGCGTTTTAAAACATTAAAATGAAACGTTTCACTCTATTAAAGAAACCAACCTCGCATATTGAATCCTCTTCGGTGTTTATGTGGGTTATTTTGTATGGTGAAAGTTTGTTGTAAGACTCAAAAAATAACTAGAGATTTGAATCTGGAGGTCATGATATATGTGAATGCTTTCTTTATGATCCTGAAATCAGAAAAACATAATTGAGCCAACGTTGATGTAAATGGCTTTAATCCATTCAACAATGAAAAAAAGAAGTAAATCACATCAACGCTGCACTCAATGATGTTCATTCAAATCCAGGAAACAAACCCTTCTTGATCTGTTTTATCACCATATATCTAAACACGTAATTTATAAGACATTGTCTGAAAGCAGTACAATTCCTGTGTTTGTACTACTGTGTACGATCAACGAGCCGTGCTAAATCGTATTTTTGGGGTTGCTGATTTGTACGTATTTTTAAATTATCATTAGCTAAAGTTTAAAATAGTTTTCATGTGCCTAACGTAATACAAAGACATTATTAATTATTTAGCCCAAGTTTATGTATGTAAGATCGGTGTTCTTTCATGTGTGTTGTACTGCACCGAAGCACAACTTTATATATGTACTACATGAGACCATCTCTAAACGACGTCGTTCACCACTATTCTTCTCTTATATTATAAGTTTAATTACTTTTTGACGCTCTTTTCATATAAATGTGTGTGTATGATTTACAATCAATGGGAACAAATTAACAATGACCATGCTTAAACTTACTATAGTAAAAAAATCAAATGGAGATGAACAATTGCGGAAAAGCTGAAATTAATAACATTTATTAAGTATAATCAACAAGAAAAATTTGATCACTTGACGATGCACTTAAGCAAAGCCGTTTTAGTTGACCCGTCTGCAGTCTCCACGAATCTCTCCATCATTTCCTGTGAGAATCCTTACGTTTCCCATCTTGATCATTGATTTCGCAAAAGCTTTATAGAATGTACGTTGGCTCTTTGCAAAACGATTCACCAAAGACACGGTAGGCGCTCCTTTCGAAGAGAACAAGATTTGGTCTGATTCAATGACCCCACGGTTGTTTTGAAGGTTCTTGAAATAATCGTTATCAAATGAGTCAGGGCTCGTAGGATCAAGATTAACCCTCGCAGTGAGACTTCTGCCTTGCGGACATTTTCGTCTCAATGTTCGCAAGAATTTTGGTTCAATGCTAGGATCAGACTGTCCATTGTTACCACTAAAATTGTGAAGACGATTTGTTATTACTCCACACTGAACTCTCCCGAAGGTATGCGCACCTGGATGTTATTATCATTCATTGGTCATTTGGCAGAAGTATGATAAAAAATTTAACAAGGGCTTTAAATAGTATTTGTTACAATATATCTAGACAATGATTCAAGACGGGAATGTAAAGATTACCAGATAAAGCGACGAGATCGGTTGTGTCAAGATTATGTACGGAGAACTTAGAGGTAAGGATCTCCATAGAGTCAGGTCCAAGAGGAAGGTTAGCCACTGCCTCCCCACGGTTAGCCGTGCGACCATCCCTCCTTCCTAATAATACTTCCCATGACGGCCCTCCCGCCTTAAAGATACAAATATAATTTTCCAAAAATTAAATATATATATATATAGATATATTAAAGGGCAATTCTCTTAAATAGTCTTTTTAAAAGTTTTTATCACAAAAATAGACTTCAAAAATTAAAATGACCAAAATAGCACTTTTTATTTTGAAAATTTTAAGTTTTTTTTAATTTTTTTAAATTCGAAACTTCTATCTCCAAAACCCCACTCCTCAACTCTAAACAAAAAAGTCTAGGATTAGTTAGCCCAATAGGGTATAAATGTATATTTAATAAAACATTTAAGTGCTATTTTAGTCATTTTAATTGTTAAGGTCTATATTTGTGATAAAAAAAATTTTAGGTCTATTCTAGTAATTTTCTCTATATTATATAGTGTTTAGTATTTTAACACTAGTTCAACCACTAAGTTATATATCTTGCTCATGTTTTTTTTTATATATAACTTTGCTAAAACATACAAATTTCAAGAATTATGTGTTTATTACCAGTGAAACAGAGACTTCAGCTGCGATAGCGAGTATATCGGCACAAGAGACGACTCCAGGGCAGACATTCTCGAGTGCGGCTTTGATATCATCGATCACTTCGAAACCGTCAAGAGAACCAGCGTTTTGGAAAGCTTCTTTTTCACCCTCTACTCCATCCCCAGGAGCAGCGTCCAATAGCACCGAACCATCGCACCCCTGTGTTTCACGAGGTCAACGTTTTATGCATATTTTAATTTTCAAATGATCTAATTACATTATGTTTTTTTGACAAAATCAGTCTATGCTGTTCTTGCTTAATGATTAAAGTAGAAGAAACCAAAAAGACTTATTTTAATATTGGGTTTAGGAAGACCGATACTCACAATTAATGAACCTAAGGTCAATATTAATATCGTCAAACTTATAATCAAACATCAGGATTTGATCTTTGGAAAACAGCTCAACATAAATTTCAATTTTAATTCCACCAAACCCTTTACAACAATCATAAGCTGTACATATGGTTTAGATTCAACATGAATCACAAGATCACATGCACAGTTATAACGATAGCTAGGTGTTTCTTATTAAACAAAAAAAATCATGGTAATGAATAGAAATAGATCTTACGTTCACAAAACAGTCGTGAAAGTGAAGACGCATGACTTCAGCAGTGAGTCTAACGTCGCTACGGCTAGCTCGTTGGATCAGACTCCGAGCGATGATTGTGACATTAGGGCAGCTCTTGGAGTAAAAATCGGAGCTAAGTTGAGCATTACCCAAAACACCAAACATCAAAAGCGAGAGCAAAAGTAAGGGGATATTAGTACTGCTTAGACCCATTCTTCTGTCGCTCTATGTTAATTAGTCAAATTGAGCGATAGAAAGAATAAGCTTAGAGGATATTGTGGATTGGTGTTAAAAAGAGTGACGCCTTTTATAAAGAGCTTATACCTAACGATGGAAGAAAATTTATACATGTTCTAGGAAAGTTACAAACATTTTAGTGCGGTGTAGACTTCTAATTTTATTTTGTGACACACAATAAAATATAATGATTAGCATCTATGACTACAATTTGGTGCAGTTGTAAAGTATCCAAAGACAACGAATTTGAGTGTAATCAAATTGAATTTTTGAAAATATGTACACCATAATTTGTAAGTTTTTTTCAACTTTGAAAAGCCTACGTTAAAACCTCTTGCTCGAAATATTTTGATTAAAAAAATTGTAACTTTTGAAAAACATAAATAAATATAAATATACATAGATTATTGTTGAGTGACGGCTGATGGCTTTAGGAGCTGGTCGATGGATAGTTAAACACGGACAAAAAAACTGAGTAACGGCACATAACAATTGACTTGATGACAATTACGTATATGTAATCGACGAATGTAAAAAATCATGTGTTTTGACCTTGTTAGTTCATTTTTTTTTTATTTTAGTTTGTTATGTCATTGAATCAGTCTAATCCAATATGCGATGGAGTTAAATCATCATTGGTGTGCGTAAATGTGATAAAATAATAAAAACATTGAATCGTTCTAATGGAACCTAAGCTGTGAGTTGTTGAGCCATCATTGGTTTCATATAATAATAGAAACATGTGATTAGAGATATGGCAGCGGAGAGGAGTGGTATTATATGCAAGTGATACCTATTCTACTTTGCAAAAAAGAATTTACAAAAGGAAAAAAATATACTGCAAAAAGCGTACCAGGTATAAAAAGTGTAGTCCAAAATACTTTTGTAAACACAATTACTTTCATTAATCTTTAAACTTTTTTGACGACAACAACTAAACTGAATTCATTCTATATATAAAATAAACAGTACCAACGCATTAAAGCTTCGAGTTTTCTGCATTTTTTCTTGCTAAAAGTTTCAATTATGTGATTTTGAATATAAATTGTTAGATAGCGTTATAAAATTGTAATGTGGCTACCAGAAGCTATAAACTATTTATGTTTTAGAAGATGATGTACAGACTACAATAGAAAGAACGTGAAGCATTTCTAAATAACAGTGGCATGTTTAGCCTTAATAGTAAAACAAAATCAACGGAATATAAAACATTTATGAAAAAGCACAAATAAATACCACTTATTTCATGAATAACAACAAGTTTGAACCTGCAATTATGCAAAACGTATTAGTTGACCCGTCTACAGTCTCTACGAATCTCTCCTTCAGTCCCTGTGAGAACCCTTACATTTCCCATCTTGATCATCGATCTCGCAAAATTTCTAAAGAACTCACTTTGGTTCTCTGCGAAACTATTCACCAAAGATACAGTAGGTGACCCTGTCGAAGAGAACAAGATTTGATCTGATTCAATGACTCCACGGTTGTTTTGAAGGTTCTTGAAATAGTCGTTATCAAACGAGTCAGGGGTCGTATCATCAAGATTGATCCTCGCGGTGAGACTTCCGCCTTGTGGGCATTGCCGTCTCAACGTTTGCAAGAACTCCGGTTCAATAGTTGGGTCGGACTGTCCGTTGTTACCAGTGAAATTATGTAGACGATTTGTTATCACTCCACACTGAACCCTCCCGAAAGTATGAGCACCTATACAATTATTATTCGTTTAGAATATACTGTAACAACGTATATCTTTATCAACTATAGTCATATTTATGACAGACGGGTAATGATAAAAGAATTAAAACGAAAATGTAAAATTACCAGATAAAGCGACAAGATCAGTTGTGTCAAGATTATGTACTGAGAACTTAGAGGTAAGAATCTCGAGAGAGTCAGGTCCTAGTGGAAGTGCAGTTACCGCGTCTCCACGGTTTGCTGTCCGACCATCTCTCCTCCCTAACAATACGTCCCATGACGGTCCTCCGGCCTTAAATGATAGAAATGGATGGATGTTGACATGTTGTGGACAGAAAATAATTAATTATATGAAATCACATAAAATTTGGAGAGTTATGTTATTACCAGTGAGACAGAGATTTCAGCTGCGATAGCGAGGATATCGGCACAAGAGACAACTCCAGGGCAAACATTCTCGACTGCAGTTTTGATATCATCGATTACATCGAATCCATCAAGAGAGCCAGCGTTTTGGAAAGCCTCCTTCTCACCCTCTACACCATCAGACGGAGCAGCATCCAATAGTACCGAACCATCGCACCCCTGCGTTTCACACACGTTGACTTCAATGATATAAGCATAATTTCGAAAAAAAAATCTTAGTCAAAGTCTATGTCTATGTTATTAGGATTAATTTTATTTGGGATTATAAAGACCGTTACTAAATAGGAAACCCAAGGTCAATGACGGAATATACATGTACTCAAGTATCTATATATAGTTAAACATGAAAAGAAATTAAGACGTTAATCTAGAAATTAACGACCCCACTAAACTTTTGTCCATAAGTAGGTACGTTTTTGGGGACAATCAATGAGTATAAACTAAAAATACCAATTATAGTCAAAACAAAAAGAAATGCGACCTTATCAAATATAAACCTTCATGTGTAGTGCTGGTTTAGATTTAACATGAATCATGAGATATTTTTTTTACCAACATGAATAATCAGATCAGGTGCGCATTAAAACGAGCGGTTGCATTATGACCCTAAATATTCTAATGAGTAGAAAGGTGTCTTACATTCACGAAACAGTCGTGAAAGTGAAGGCGCATGACTTTAGCAGTGAGTCTGACGTCGCCACGGCTTGCTTGCTCGATTAAGCCCCGAGCAATGATCGTGACATTAGGGCAGGTCGTGGAGTAGAAATCAGATGTAAGCTGACCATAACTACCCGAAGCCCCGAAAATCAAAATCAAGAGCAAAAATGAGGAAATAATGTGGCTTATTAAACCCATTGTTGATTGTTGGTCTCACTCTGTTAAACCGATAGATAAGAAGCTTACAGAAATTTGTGGGTTGATACGAAAATTAAAGACTTCGTATAGCCTTTTATAGAGAGCTTAAACCTAACGTTAGAAGAAAATTCAACATGCTCTAGGAAACTTACAAAACTTTCAGCGTCGAAGAGACTTTTATTCTTGTAGACACAATAAATTTATATAATAATTAGCGTTATAATTAGTTATCTTTAATATATATACAAATAGGGAATATAAGAAATGTGTGTGTGTGTGTGTGAGTGTGTTTTTTTTTTTGAACATTTGTGTGTGTTTTTAATCACAAATATTATATATATAGGGGCCTATATATATACGTAGAATACAGTCCAACTGTAAGTGATTTTATTGTTAACCAAGGAAAGTAATTAAACTGTTCAAGAAAATAATTGTCTAAAAATCAATATATGTATATATATATATATATAGTTTTAAGAACATATATAATAACACACACTTTCTGTATTTGAAAAATACATCAATATACAGTTTCGATAAATATAGTAACACATAATTTCTGCACTGTATATGAAAACAAATTCTGTAAATCCAATCATCAAACTAACATAAGCATTTTTAAAAACATTGTATTCATCTCTTATGCTTACTGGATAAAAATATCAGTTGACGTCAAGAGAGGAAAAGGACAAAAACTCTAACGGCATGTTGAAAAATTGGCTTGCAAAAATTCGGTTTGCGAAATATCGCAATAAATGACCACTTTTTTCGTAATCGACAAGTTAAATTCATGTATTTTGACCTAGTTGGTACACATTTTTTTCTTTTTGTTATGAATAAATGAATTAAATAATAAGATAAGATCAAATATATAAATCTACTCTATTAAAAATGAGTCTTTCTTTTTATCTACTAATACAAATTGTCATTTAATTTTGGACTCTTTCTAGAGTGTTACAATAAGCCATATAGTTAATTGAACCGCATTATTTAAATTAAACCGATAGTTAATTATGGGATATAGTCTTGGACTTACTTTTGTTTTTAGAATAAATTATATGGTTTGATTTTTAGGCTTATTATTAAGGAAAAACTTCAAAAACATTGAATAAAATTTCTATCTTAATGGATCAAAAAAATCAATTATTATTTTCAGGCCCAAATGTATTTAATATTTTTAACAAAACAAAATTGTTTATTATTAATCATTTATTTAAATTATGTGCTTTAAAACATGTTATTGTATTTTTTTTAATTTTAAATAACAATCACTTTTTTTTTGATAAATTTCAATGGTAACTTTTAAATAATTTATTGGTTTATTTTTCTTAAATAATTTACTAATTTAAAAAAAAAATGTAAAGCAAAACCAAAAACCAATTCTAAAAACTAAAATCCAAAACCAAAAGCTGAAAATGCATTGTTGTGGATAACATATTGTTATAGTTTTTGCTTTTGTTTATTTACAAAATAAACTATTGCAAATTTTTTTAAAATTTTTTTGTCATCTTTTCAGTTTTAAATTAGATGTTCGATTATTTGAGATTTTTTTGTTGGTAATATCAGTTCAAACTAATTCAACGGATCTAAAAATTAAAAACCCAAACAAAAGCTGAAAATCAAAAATAGAAACTTAAAAACTAAAAACCAAACTGAAACTAAAAACTAATGAAAAAAATCGTCACCACAAATTTTGGTAAACTGATTTTATACTAAAACATTCTTTAAATTAAGACATAACCCAATTATATAAATTTTAGTTATAAAAAATTTCCGCGCTTTTCAAGCGCGAGTCAAAATCTAGTGTATGTTTATAGTTTTCTTTTAATTTTGGACTTCAATGAGTAATGCATCAATTGTTTGTTGACAGGTATATTTGAACTTTGAAATATGAAATAATATTGTGATACGTAACTATCGATATCAATATGAAAACCAAGTTAGTGACAGAATATAGTCAAATATATATCAAACATAACAACTAGGTATTTTTTTTGGGTCAATCAACGACTATGGACTTCTTTTAACGACTCTAAACTATTAATTCAAAAACGGCCTAATCAAATGTAACAAGTCACATGTCTGAGTTAACTTCATTCATAAACCTTCACATGTACTGAAATGTTACATATGGAAATACCACCCAATTAATCATATTATTTTATAAGAAAATCATAATATTTTATTTGATAGTGCTAAAATAACTAATATGTGAAAATAAATAGATGTGTATTAACTTCACTTAAAGAAAATTTTCCTTGGTCACCTATTTATTTAAATTAGCATTTGCAAATCTGATAGCTAGTGACAAAAAGTTAAGATTCAAAATAAATAGTTGTAGCATCAAAAAGTAAAAAGATCTAAATAGTTCTATTATTTTTAGCTATATGATGAAATCATGTTTTTTTTTTGAAATCATGTTTTCTGAATTAGAGTAAAACGATTAAAAAGGAAAAATCAATTATAAAGAACAAATAATATACAGAAATTTTAAAAACGTCAACACTAATACAAATGATTTGTTGAAACTTGATCTTGCATACTATTCTTTCCGCGTAGATTTGAAAGTCGTTTTTGTTTGAAGCGATCAAAGTATGTAGAGCCAGTTTTTTTCAAAATGATTGGACATGGTCGTTTTCATCCGCACAAAGTTTTTATTTATTTATTGCTAAAATCTGCACAAGGATATTATTCGTCGCTGAATTCCACGAAAACTAAAGTCTAGTGCCTTTTTGTTTTCAAAACATTTATTACCGGCTGATGCATTTGAGGCTTCGAATGGCTAACGCAGATCAAAATATATAGATAAAACAGAAATGCAGATCAAGCAGAACAAATGCAGATCAAGCAGATCAAGCAAAACAAATACAGATCAATCTAATTTAATAAATTATTATATTTTATTAATTATTTTATTTTCATAAAACTTATAAATTAAAAAAAATAAAAATATTATCATTTTTATAAATATCGTGAAATTTTTTAAATTATATGAAAGATGATTATAAAAGTAACTATTCAAATGTATCTTTAGTTAATATATAAATTATTAATAGTGTGCATAAATTCATCAAACTAATTTATATAAAATAGAAGATTTAAAATTTATTAAATATAAGACTTCATGTCGTTCAACTATAGAACTAATATTGTCGATTTTTATATATGTTCTTATATCAAAAATATCTTCATTTAAAATATAAAAATGCATACATTTAAGAACAAAAAAAATATGTTTTATATTTTATAAATAACCATTAACATTTATAATTATATGCAGTTAAAATATTAATATCAGTTATGAGAATATATGCATAAATTTATTAGACTAATCTATGAATATATTAATTAATTTCAAGTATATAATATGTTATATTTATTGATTACATAAAAAGATATAAACTAACAAGTGTAACATACTGCAACTTTCTTTTGTCAACAACATACTGCAATTTATTTTTGTAAAAATATGAATGTATAGATTAAATATATATAATTTTCTATACTCATATCTATAGAAGATAATATATTACATATTTTTCTATAAATAATTAATTTAACAATAAATTTTTACCAAAGTATGAGAAATGAAAATATTTTAAATTTATATTTCTTATAAAAAACTGTAATTATTTTATCTATGTTAATCATCATCAACTGAATAATTTATATCATATATGCTTTCTATTTACATATATTTATCTAAATCTTAGATAAATATTGTTTAGTGTTATTATTTGGTTTTACAACAAAAAGAAAAAATGTACATAAAATTTATAGGCATTCGACCAGCACCTTTTTCTTCTTATTTGCAGTACAATTTTTTTTCACATATAAATGGATCTGTATACAATTCATTTAATATTTTATCATTATTATTTTGTCCTGCAAATTTATTGTGAATGGACATAAAATGCAGATAGGACTACAGTGGTAACTCTCCCGCATCTCTCCTGTCTTTGTCATGTTTTACATTCACACCCATGATACCATCTTGTTCAAGAGAAGTACTTGCAAGTTGCTCTTGCACCTATATGATCTATACTAATAAAGTAGAATCCCTATTAGCATTCTGCCATTAGTTTTAAAATTATTTACAAATCCTGTCACTCCTACTCCTAGATTTATGCATAAATCAATTAATTATTTTAATCAGAAATATAAACCAATCGTATTGCAGCATTTAATATCTTATACCATCTTATTATATCCTATATTCTCTCAAAATTTTGTTTATTTTTTAATTATACTTCCCAATTTTTGTTATTAAAAATACATATTTACTTTTAATGTCATACTAACGTTTTGAAGATATAGTTATATATTCATACCAGATTTGATCAAAACCGGGTTGCATGTTTGATTTTACATTGACTAACATGTTTTTAAAAATTATTTATCTAACTATATTCAAACCTTTCGCATTTATTCTAATACTCACATGTTCTCAAAACATATAAAAATAACTCATAATTATACCAATCAATAAATATATATATATATATATAGATAACCAATATATAAATTATTTTATAAATTATAAAGTAATATATGTAATTATACTTAAAAATAGAAAATAACACTTATTCAGTGATTCAGAAAAATTTATAACTAACTTGGTCTAATTGAGTTAGTTATAAATTAACGGTATGACTCCTAAATAATATGAGTTTAAATAGAACAAATTTCTTATTTTAACATCCATAACAATAAGTTTAATGTGTTTTAATTAAATTTTTTACAATGGAAAATATCCCACACTTTTAAAGTGTGGGTCAAAATCTAGTTTAAACTCTGAACTAGCAAAAGATTGTTTTTTATTAATATGGGGGTATTTCAGATCTACAGAGAGGCCCCAACTAATTTCCAAAAAGAGGTGCAGTACACGGATAGACACTCTCTCCGGATATTCAAATGGACTCAAAAACATGAGCTTATATCCGTGTTAAATAACCAAAAATAATTATGTGTCCTTTTAGTCGTTAAAATATGCTAGTTAGAATTATAAACTGGTAATATTCAA